AAAAAACCATTTCATTAAAGGCAAAGTTGACTTTTATACAAAAAACCCAAATAAACCATTTGACTAGGTCATTTTGGAAATTCTCCCGATTAAATGTTACATAACTCATAGTTTAATATTTATTGCAATAATATAATATTAAAGAGTATGAGATCCCTTCTTCAAGAATTAATCATATTTTCCTACGTCTTCTAAGTCAAAGATTAGTTGTAATAATGATATGATTGGTAATATTCACACACACACACACACATTTTAGAAATATATATATTTCTAAAATAATCCATAGCTGCAACACGGATCCATTTATAAATTAAGTTAGCAAAAAATTTAGTCAAATATAAATATTTTAGGAGTATTTTTCTTTTATTATAAAAAAAAATGTTGCGGAATTATCCATCGTTAAGATAAGAAAAAGTAAACCATTAAATTTCACGTATTTAAGCCCCTGTTTGTTGTAGAGTAAAATCATATTTTTAGTAAATTTTGAAAAAAGTTGATGGAACGTATGGTTGAAAATCCTAAATTAATCAATTTCCCTCCATCCTCTCATCTCTCTCCACAAGACCGCCTCCTCCATCTCTCCCACCTCCGACCCCCACCACCACCACCACCGTCCAGAAGTTGGAAGTTTCCATTGATCTGTCAGATTTCACAGATGGGCATTCTGATCCAGGGAAAACTTGGGCACACAATTTGTTAATTCGGGAATACTATGCGTTTCTTGATCAGAAAATCGATCATAATTTTTCAGAATTTCGAGGACCGCAAAGGACAGAAAATTGTTTCGATAAGTAAAGAGCTTCAGTTGCTACTAGGTTTGCTTGATTTCTTGCTACAGATTAAATCAAAGTCGAATGCAACCAGAGTCCCTCTTGTGTAGGACACCATGGATGGAATTATCATTGAGATTTTTGATATTTAGGGTCCATTTGATTGTAAGGGTGGAAAATGGGTGGAAAGAAAATGTTTTATAGGGAAAAGATTTTTCTAGAAAATGTTTTCCTGGGAATTGTAATTAATTGTGTTTGATTGGTATAATTTTCTACCTGAAAAATGTTGAAAATTTGGTGTCCGTTTGGTTTCGTTTTTTTATAAAAATTGTCCATTAAAGTGATAATTTTTCTACCAATACATCTAGAATTTGTTCTAATTACCAAAAAGTAAAAAAAAAAAAAAAATTAAAAAATTAGAAAAAATTACCATATTCGTTTGACTTTGTTTTACATAGAAATTGTCAACAAAAATGAAAATTCCTTTTACAATAGTTGATAGAA